GGGCCTGTTCCCTGCGCAACCCAGACTTATCCAGACTCAGCTTGGAAGCAGCAGCCCATTCCCCAGCCCAGGGGACGCCCAAACCCACTGAGGAAGGCTCTACGTCACACTTACAAAGGAGACGGGCTATGGTAGGGGGACATACTCACCCAGAGCCTCCTCTGCCATCTATATACCTAGAGGAGGCTAAGACAGACTATACAGGGCAAACTGCAGCTGTGTGCCCCTATGTGGAGGCAGGGGTAGATAGGCAGGGGCATCTTCCCCACCCGGGGTACCTCAGTCCCAGGGATGGGTGCAGTGGGAGGCCCAACGAGGAGACAGCTGGGACCTTGATGCACACCGAGCAAGGAAGGGTGAGTGTTTCCTCTAAACTTTATAAAAAAGATGGAGGCAACCTTTTGCAAGAGTCTGACCTGCAGATGATGCTTATCTTTATTCCTACGTGATATAACTGACAGCATTTACAGAAATGTCTGATGGATAATAGAGGCGGATGCTAACTTGGTTCCAACTCTACGGTCCCTTCTTGGATTGGGTTCACTGGGAGGATCTTCTTAAGTGTCTGTTGTCCTAATGTTTTTAAGGCTGTTCCTCCTGGCGTATGACCTGCAGTTATTACAAATGATGGGATTTATATCTTCTACACTCGCTCTGAAGAACATCACACCGATTACTTTTCTTATTTTGCCATTCTGTGAGACATAAAACCAATATGTGTGTGAAGTATACCTGCAAGGGAATCAGATATGTTTTATATATGTTACTCTAAAGATGTTTATATCATAGTGATTCTGCACAAATATCGTACTGAGACACCAGACTGCATCTATGGAATAAAAGAGCAATGTAGCATCAGGATTGACTTATTAAATGACTTCTGATGAATATTTCTGATTTGACCTCCCAAGGATCAAGCTGGAGCAGCGGGTGGAGCCAGAAGAGGAAGGAAAAGGAAACAAACGTAAGCGGTTTACTTGTCAGACACGCTTTAGAATTGCCTGGAGAACTCAAGTTCCAGTCTCAAGACTTGGCTCTGTAATGAATCAGTGCGTTAAGCTTGTTCTGATATTTCATAATAACCTGCCGTCAGGTTGAAAGTGATTTCATTGTGCGGTAGAGAGTATTTATGTGTTTCCTCTCTTTGTTTACATCAGGCTACAGAATGTGTTAGAGGACTTCAGAGACATGGATGCTACAGCACTAGAGGAAACCAAGGCTACGGTAAGACCCCAGCCCCACCTCAGACCTGCAGACCTGCAGACCTGTGGTTTAGTCAAGCACAGGTTCTTAATAACCCCTAGCTAGTATTATGGAACTGTTTTGAGTCTGACTATTTCCAAGCCTCCTGTCTTACATTTAGACCTTTTAAACCACAAAAAATGTTGATGTTACTACTACAGCTTGGGATTTTATACCCATCCTATGACTTTCCCTCTAGCACCCAATGAGGTTCACACTTGGTCTTGACATTTATTAAATTGATTTTCACGAAATAGACATGTAGGTTTCCCTTCAGGATTAATTAATTAATAACATGATTGATCTCTTAGCTTTTCATGTAGTGCCATCATCAACTCCAAATTTGTATTTGTACTTTGGTTAAAGGTGGGGTAGGTAATTCTCTTCAGAAACACTTATATTCCATGGAATTAACATCCCGATAGCAATGAATACATGAAATGCTTTGACAATAAATACATTAGAAAAATGTCATCTGTGGAAGCCGTGGCGCTGTAAAAAGCACGACCAATCATCTGAGCCGGCCCGGCTAAAATAACTGGATGACCTAACTGCCTGTCAGCCTTCCATCTCGTGCACAAACTTATCTCGTGCCCTCATTTGTCATGTGCGCGTTCGTGTGTGTTGGAGGAGGGGCTCTGTAAGGAAGTCTGAAGGAAGGGGCAGATTTTTTTCAGCTGCGTAGTTTCAAATTCTAGAGCACTCGAGCTGGTTTCTCCATTCTTACCTACCCTAGCTTTTAATAACCAAATACCCGCAAGATTTTTCACAGCCTCAGTTTTCATTTTTATTCAAATTATTACTAAAAACAAAGATAGCCAACAGGATAAATTCACCTGCCAAGCAATAGCATGTTAGCATTGTTATTGTGAGCATGTTTTCCTGCAAGTAAGCATTAAAGTAGCAATTGCTCCAAGTTCATGTAAATCCTGTGTTTTCATGTCATCAAATGACTGCTGTACAAATGTGATTTACATATGTAAGAAACTAAATGAAAGTGTGAATTAAGGAGCTTTCCATAATACCACATGTAGGCATTTGAAGATATACAAATTAAATGTCACGATTATCCTGACCACAATACTGATATTCCTCCCATAATCACCCCAAGTATGCTTATAACTGATCATTGCATAAAACATATTTAAACTGCTCGTCCTTACATTTTGCTCAGACAGAGAGGACCCACATTGTCATCATAAAATTGTGTATTTTAATCCAAAAAGTTATGAGTTCTTCTTGTACACGTTGGCTAAAGTGCTGAAAACTGCAAAAGCAGACCCTGAGTCAGTTTGAGGAATGGCAATGATTGTGCAGTTCTGACTGCAGTGGTAAAGTCTTTCCACTGCTGGGGGGCTGCTCTGACTGTATTTCTCTGTTTCTCGCTGCAGACGGTGCTGCTGAAGCCCGAGAGGTCGGTCCGCGGCAGGAGGCGACGAGGCGCCAGGTCTCAGAGGCAGTGATTGGTGGAGGGAGCTGTAAGTCAGCTGTTCACCAATCAAAGGCAGCCAGACGCCTCACTTTCCACCTCCATCTTCACCACTGTTTGAAACTTTATTTTATTGATTCAACTGCACTAATATTATGCTGTTGTTATGGCAACCACGATGAAAAAAAAACATAGGAGAGAGATCTAGTCTGAAAGGTTAATTTATAAGTAAAAAAGGTGAGTGAATACTTTCACTACTCTTAGTTGTAGTTCACAAAATAATGGTTGCTTTACTTTGTGATCGGAGATCTGTTAATGATGGTTGGTGAATTATATCTATAGGAAAACACAAACATACAACTGTTTTCTTATCAGTGTATAACTGTGAGTCAGGAATAAGCCCAACTACTTGAACGAAACTCTGTTGAAAGTGTGTACGTGTGTGGATGTGTGTGTCTATGTGTCTGAGTGTGTGTGGACAACAGTGCTGTTGCTGAGCCTCTCACTGTCCAACGGTTAGGAAACATGTCATTCTAGTCGATGAGACCCGTCTGTAAGATAAAGGGTTCTTTGCGGAGGCACACAGGTTGCATTTCATGGAAATGTTTGGAAGGTTTTCAGAAGGTGCTGGAAGAGAATATAAGAAGGAACACACTTGAGTTTTTTAAAACTTTTTCCCATATAAAATATGTTTTATATGGGACAAGCCAAGGATATAATGTTCACCGTGTCAGGTTTCATGATCAGTTTACATCAACCAGCGGTCACACAGAAATGTAATCATAATTTCTCGTGTCCTGTGAGATGTTTCGTGTTAGTACATCACTTATTATTATTTTTATCGAGAAAACATTCATTTAAGAAATGAAGTCCTTTTGTACAACTCTTCGAATCACGTCATAGGTCTGGAAGGTCAGAGAAATGATGTGAATCGGACACCAGCCACAAAAATTGAATGTGGAGCAATTCAGAAAAAAGGTAATTTGTGGTATTTTGCTAACCCACTGTCACATGTTGTCAGTTGTTGCTGAGATTCATTCAATGTATCTGTGGTGTGATGGAGAATATTTATTATATCTGTCAAGCCAATACTCACCCAAGCTTCACTCCTCAGCCATTAGATACATGTCTGGAAAATATATTACATTCTGAACAGAAATATCAGCAGGAATCACGAGTTAGTACAAAGTTTAGTATGTCCTTTGGTTGGTTGAACGAATGGCTGGAAACGTAACGCACGGGGAGCGACGACGTCTTACATGTTGGTGTGTTTCTGTGGATTTGGAGTGAAATCCTCCCTCTGTCTCCTCATGTCACTGTTTGAGCTCTCCTCCACACACTGCCCTGCCCCAAGAGTACTGGCATCTCTTGCTGTATTTAAAAGAAGAATAAAGAAAAGTGAAAAAGAAAGCAGATTATGCAATTTCTACACTTGGAGATTTGTACATATGTATAGTTAATGTGTTTTATTTTGATTTTATATTGTTAGAGAAAGAGACAAGAGAGAAAACAATGAATTGTGAATTTTTCTGGGAATTGTAATTAAGTATTTTTCTCATTCTACCCTTTTCTTTCAATACTTATGTTTAAAAAGACGATTCAATTGTGGACTGTAGCTTTCTTTTTTTATATGGGAGTCTTTTTTTATTTAATATTAAACTATTTACAGAAAATGTACCCTGTGTTGATTTCTATTCTGAAAAGGATGTGATAAACTTCGTTAGCTTATAGCCATCTGAAATGTAATTTGAACCCACCCATTTTTAAATAAGGATTTTATTGAACATGGTGCCGTTGCAGCAAAAAATGTTATCAAGAAATATGTTCTTATTGCCCTTGGAAGAAGTCTCGTATTTGCACTCAAGTAACATTACTTTTGAATATACACAATTTAAGGAGAACAACATATACAAGTTTACTCTACTAACAGTAACATAAATTCAGTTTGCAGATAAATCTTTATCTTTAAATGAAAACTTAAATGTATGATTATTAGAGAGATATGTTTTCTGTTTATGTTCTTTCTGTTAATCGTTTTTATCAAGATATCTTTTAAATAATGTCAGCTTTTATTATAAAAATTCCCTTTAATTAAAAGATCTGCTCAATATCACAACATTATATAAACAAGAATTTGGTTACAGAAACATACGCATATGTTTTTGTTAAAAATATAGAGCATTGTGCAGCCTTGATCAGTAAGTGCTTAATGCTTTCATTCTGTATTGCATTTTTATCACCAATTTGTTTTCACTTTTTACATTGTGCTGTGTCATCTCAGTCTCCTCAACTACTGATGCTCCTTCAAGGTGAGGCATTAACTCGTCTTTTAATCAATAATCTCCACTGCCTTCCCATAATGGTTCCTGATGCCTTCCAAGAAACGGCCTATCAGATATGGTGGAGAGGGGCCAGAGGATGACTGAGGGTTGGTCACTGCATCATCGGGCTGGCAGCTGCTGCTCTGTAAAGTAATGACACGATGCTTCGTGGCGCTGCATGTGAGGATGTGACGCTGCAGCACGAGGCTCTGCTCTCCGCCGGGCTGTGAGGATGCTGAGCGGAGGATGACGAAGCTGTGGGTACCACTTTAAAGGCACGGATGCGGACCACGCCCTTCCTGTTCCCACCGATAGAGGGCGCTGTGGCGACATAGGCAGGCCGATCTTCAGCAGCTTTACCTCACTGCCCTTCCAACAGCATCTCACCTTCAACCGGCCTCACGCGCAGCCACCACCACACCGCGGAGGAAAACAAGACAGAGACGGACAGTGGACAAGAAACCACCAAGATAAAGCCACCCGGTCATGATAATTATTTAGGGTTTCCGTTTTGCGGTTTGACATTAATTTTGCTGCCCGCCTCTGCGACACCGAGCCATCGTCCAGCTGCACACCAAGAAAACGCCTCCTCTGTCAGCTCGTCCGGATAAAACCAGCCAACACCTCACAGTCCTCTCGACGCAGCAGGACGAAGTGACTGCGCTTCTCTCCTCGGTTATTTTGACGGTCAGAAAGGCCCGAGCAGCGACGGGTCGCCCGCAGCCTCAGCAGCCTCTCCTCCGCTCATCAGCATCCTCCTCCTCCCTGAATCTACGCAATGGCCGATATCCCGGCGGAGTGCAACATAAAAGTGCTGTGTCGCTTTCGTCCTCTCAACCAGTCTGAGATTGTACGAGGGGACCAGTTTATCCCCAAATTCTTAGCAGACGACAGTGTCACCGTTGGGGTGAGTAAAGGGAGGCGCTTTGTTGTGCATGCAGGCCCCTCCTCAATAAATCATCAGCCCCACTCCTCTGTTTGGGTGCTGGGCTGACATCATTATCGGTGCAGCGCAGGGAAAGATCAAAGCTTTCAACCTTAAAATCTGTTTTTTCCATGCATGACAAAGCAAAAACACATGAGATGTTGTTACGTGCGCAAAGCCTTTTGTACCAGCTGATGAGCTCTGCCCTGTGAAGCCTGTATGAAGCCTAGCCAACACCTTGTCACCGTAAACAGACGTTATTATGGCACTCTCCTAAAGACATGGAGATGCTAACACATTTAGCTGTAAATCATTCATGGCCATACCATTATTTATAACCTCTATTTGAACAACACTCAAGGTAAATACAGCTGCTATATTCATTGTGTTTTTTTGTTATTTAGCCTAATCAGCTTTAATGCTGCCATATAAGGAGGTCAGCTTACAGTACACTATATTTCTCCTGTAGTGATGGTTCATTCATCAGCAGCTGCAGACAGATGGTGCAGAGCCTGCATGGTGAGGGTCTTTAGATGTTGAAGTTGGGAGAAATGGGGCCTGGTGAGCTGGGTAGACCAACATATGATGATGCTGCATGTCTTGTTTACCCTGAAGTTGTGGATTTTCTATGGAAATAATCTATAATTCCGTCACTTTATATTCGGAATGTTTAATAGCCAGGGAGCATGAGTGAACATTGCCTTTTTTTAATCAGATCTTTTTGGGCCATACAAAAAACGTTATTTCTTCCAAAAAAGGAAAGCGGCCAGTTCAATCTTATTCCAGCGTTTCCAATACAAATCAAATGATTTAAAGATTATGTTTTGGTGCCATTTCTATCAATGTTCTACTGAAGAGTAATCTGTCTGATTCCATTTTTCCCAATACTGTTAATAAAGTTATATAAGGAAGGTTAGAGTACACAACGACACATAAAAAGATATGTTGTTGTGATGTTTTTTTTTTTTTTTTTCTCATACTGATATTCTGAACAATCTGTGCTTATTGTATTGGCTGTAAAGTGTCTCTAATGTAGGCTATTTTTATTATATGTACAGCACTTTGGCTCGACCAAAAATCGTTTATAAATGTGCTATATAAATAAAACTTGATTTGATTTGATTTGAAAATACATGAATAAGAAATTAATACAATCACAATTGGAGGCAACTAAACCACAACAACTGAATGTGAATGGGATGTAACCAACAACATCAATTGTTCTTCTGATAAAAAATTAGATACATTTTACATTATTGTGCACTCGACTTTACACTAATGATAAAAACCTTTATTTCTAAGCTTACTAAAAACTGCCAGTATTTAGATTGAGCATTTTTCTGAAAAGGCCAAAAATAAAAGCAACAAGTTAGCAACGTGCCAATCTAAATACTGGCAGTTTTTAGTAAGCTTAGAAATAAAGGTTTTTATNAATAAGATAGATTCAGATGGAAAGGAGAAGAAAAAAGATCCGAAACACAAGACAATTTGGAACCAAAAGAATGAAATGATGCTGGAGGTAGGTTTTATTTCATTCGTGATTTTGACACTAATTCATCAGACGATCATATTCATCATAAATGTACACTTCCCCGTTTCTCTATTGTAGATTATAATAGGTTTAAAAACTGCAGTCCACAGTGTCAGAAAGAAAATGCTGCATCCATCTAATCTTATAATTGGAGGGGACAATGTTGGCATTTGACAGCCAATTGGCAGAAACAAAAAAAAGGTGCAGGTTCTTGGGAGGGTGCATTTCATCAACTATCGACAGCTATCGTTCATGAGTTATATAAATGAGGGAGGGGGTTATTTCCTACAGTATACGAACTTGGAGGTAAACAGGACCCTTCCAGTTGCACACGTGTCAATTAACCATTGTATTTAAAATCCCAGAATTTTAAAGTAAGAAAAGCTTCAGTTGCCGATAAGGTAGATGTGTTTTTCACTTAACATAAATGAAGAGAAATGGCAGCTTCTTACTTATCTCACATTTGGCACAACAATCACAAACAGTGTACCAAGACAAGACCAAGACCACTATTATACCACTGTTTAGCTGATTTCCTTGAATCCATATCTGTGTTTCTGCTCAACTGTTTTACTGTAAATCACGAGGCACACAGTCTCAGCTGTTCCTACTGAGGTTAGTAGGGAGAGGATAGCTCACCGTGCCCTCAGCCAAAGCAGAGATGACGTTTCCCAGAGCAGAGAGAGACTTGTTGATGTTTTTAGCCTCGTCCAGGACGGCTCCTGCAGCGCCGGTCTTACTGACCTGGAATAAAGAAAAGCGTGAAGTCAAACATGAGAGGAACAGATTCATTTGAAGGAGCTCCATTGCAGGTTTGGAGATGTTTCAAAAAGAGGGTCTCCTACCTTCTCACTTCCAGCCAGATCCACCAGGTAGAGTTTTCCACACAGTTTCTGCTCAGTCTCCACATGCTCCTGCTTGATGTTGATCAGGAAGATGCTGTGGCTGCGAGAGCTGTGCTCGTTCATGTCTGCGCAGACAGAAGAGACAGAAGAGTCAGGGAAACGAAAGACGAGGAGGATTCCCTGCAGTCTTTGACTTTCTGATGTTGCGTCCATTGTTTTATAAAACACATTACCATCAGTATTAAGAGAAACTATTATATTGAAGAAATATGTGTGTATTTAAGATCTTCCATGTCTTTTTGTCAATTGGAAAAAGCATTACTGCAGCAATATGCTATCTTTGTCTCAGAGAGCAGATAGCGAGCAGCGCTGATCTAACCTCTGTCCGCCCGACAGACGACAGGAGGCTCAGGTTTCCCTACAGATGATATCTGAGGCAGAGCTCAGTGTGGTTCATTAGCCTGCTCTCATCACAGTGAGTCAGCAGGCGTCAACCAGGAAGCAGGGAAGAGGCTCCTGAATGCAGCATTGAGCAAATCCGATCCTGCTGCTTACAGTCAGTCGATCTTCAAAGTTAGATTTTAGCAGGATTTGTTTGTTAACATATAAGCAAATGTTTTAATATATATATTTTTTTTTTTAAGAGATCAAATTGATTCATATGGTCACATTGAATGCAATTTATCTTGGTTCTTATCATCTCTCTAACATGTTATTACATCCAAAGCTTACACAATCCAGCTCATACTGTCTTTGCCTGTTACAACATCATTATATAATGCTGTCTATTTAAACTCTTAACACACAGGCAGAAATGAATATGTATAGCGGTTCTGCCAAAGAACAGGCTGTAGCTCAGTCTGAAGAAGTTGGTTGGGACACATTTTATTGGCCTGTCTGGGAAGAGACAGCTCGTAGTGCTGCTCAATGGACGGATGATTTACAAAAACCATGTTCTTTAATAGCAGCCTCGTCCAGACCAGCAACCTGGGCTTTCATCTTTTAGTAGCACCATGCAGAATGCTGACAGCCAATCTGAGCCGAGCCTGTTTCTAAATGTACTGAACTCTGTTGAACTCAAATATCTGATCATATTTGAAACATCTCTTTTTTTCAGCTTACATCATATACAAACAGCTATGTAGAGGACATCACCCTCTATTACAAAGCTTGGACTGGAGATATCATAGTCCCGAAGTGCATACTTTATTTTGATAGTTTATATAACATTTCTGCCGCTCCTCATTATAAATGCATACCTTGGCCTATTATATTAATGTCATCATTATCACGGCAATGATTCCGTTTTATGGAGATTAAGGCGTCACACAGAGAAGCAGGAACGTGCAACATTTCCTACTGATAGAACAAGATGAATGAGATGTACCAGATGATTAGAATGTGGTTCACAATATGCTGAGTTGATATCTGGGATATTTGTGGTAAACAGCAAAACAAAATGACCTATTTTATGCTCATTAAAGTTCTTTTATCCATCATTTATGGCACTGTAACATTTGACTGTATGTTCATAACATATTGTGGGTTCTTCAAACTCGTCTGTATGCACATGGGTCAATTCTACAGCACAGATGTTGCAATGCCTGACAGTAAAAGTTACTTTCTAAAGAGTACAATCTGATCATTGAAAGTCTGATGTGAGGACAGGTAAACAAAGAAAGCACTGAGGCCCAAAATGCATTAACTCTGAAACAAAGGAGAAGTGCACAGGTTGAGATTTATTACAGCGAAGCAGTCTTGGGGTTTCTGTTGAGCACTGAGTCACAAAGCTCATCTGTTACTCACTTCACCCTGTGAGTCAGCACGGGAAACAATTATTGTTTTGTAATGTTTTCTGCAAGGGTAGTTCTCAAAGGATGTGCCTTATGGTAGTTTTACCGATTAATATACTTCCAATGCAATGCAAAACATGTCTTATTATTGCTTACTTAAAAGACATGACAGTGTTGTATGATTATTATTATTTTTCAGTTTAATGGGCACAATTGTTTGGCAAATGAATCAGATATCATACTGACAAAACATAGAAGGACAAACACTATTAAAGCAATTTGATGGATTGTATTTGAAGTACAATCAGTGTGTTTATTAGTAATTAGGTCCCATCTTTTATACACTATAATGAAATATGGTGCAATGAAGGTTAGGCATATATCTGACCTTCTTATATGAGCCATTATCAATATTTTATTACTGAACCGAGGAGTGAGTCAGCACGGTGGAGGCTATAATACAGTGCAGCAATAACGGCTCAAATAGCTTTAATTGTTTTGTTTTTCTAAGGTTTTGTAACATACATTAAAAATAAACTTCCTGATGACAGTTTGCTGAATAAAGCACCGTTAGAAACCATCTTATTCTGTGTGTTACTGGGAATGACTTTATTTCACTCACGGCTGCAGGCAGAGATGTTGTTTTGCTTTGTTACTATCTCCAAACCCACATCAACTCCCCGCTGATGCCAATTACATTACAGTGAACTCTCTCTGACAGAATCTGTTTTATTTTTTTGTTAACGAAAGAAGCTTTAAAATGATAGCGTGCTGTAACAAGAATATTACATAACAAGACACAATAACAGGCTACATGAACGCAGTGGTAGCTTTACGCATCAGTGACTAGTTGTGAGTGTTACTGCTGCTACTCAAGATAAAAGGTAGATACAGAGGTAGAGGAACAAGATAACTTATTTGATTGTCAAGGTGGTTATTGAAAAGATATTTCCCTGAAAGCATTTGTCTTTTGGGATGTTTTCATATGAAAAATCATGATTTCCCTCTTGAATTAGAATATATGTGCCTGTGCATACCGTACATCCTGCTTTGCAACACATAGATTACATTAATAAAGACTCACTGGTCACAGCAACATGGCGGGCAGCTTTGCCTTGGTCGATCACATCCATCACCTCATCAGGGCTGGAGACAAAACGCTCAGTGCATCCCTGAGGAGAGGAAACAATAGGAAAAGAGAGGAGATGAGATGAGAGGAAACGACAGGAAATGAAAGGAGAGGAAGCAAATGGGAATTAGAGGAGGGGAGATGAGAGGAAACGACAGAGGAGAAGAAAACAAAAGGAGAGGAGAGGAAACGAGACAAAGCCAAAGGAAACAAAAGGAGAGTAGATTCGAGGAAATTAGGGGAAAGGAGACAAGAGGAGTCGAGAGGAGAGGAAACAAGAGGAGCGGAAATTAGAAAATAGAAGAGAGACAGAATATGATTCTAAATGAATACCATGTATTTGATGCAGACCTTAAAAGGCGACATACAAAAGATATTCACAAACCTTGACAAATGGCACCCTGTTCTTATCCTCATGGACCGACAGGTTGGTCTTCGTCACTGGAACAAAAATTGAGAACCTTTGAATTGATGAGTGTTACAAAATAGTAGCTACATTAGTGCTTTCTTAGTTCGAATTTTACAAATCAATAAAACTGTTGCAAGTGATTCAAGAAGTGTCATCAGCCCTTACCATCCAGAAGGTCACGGATTTTGTCCATGTAGATCTCAAAGTATGAAACCTTTTGGAAGAACAATAGAGAATCCAATTTAGCTGAGATTGAAAGGTAACATGAAATCATCACAACACTTGAGATTAATAAAAGGAGCAAAAAGGAGAACAGACAAGACGAAACAATAAAACTAATTTAGGTAAAAAAGCAGCACCTTGATGTGGAATTCCAGGTTTTCATCCATGGCGAAGATGTGGTTGAAAATGTCCTCGGCGATGCGAGGAATGATACCCATCTGGTGAGGGTCGTGCAGCTTGCCCTGAAACAGGAAGTCAGAGATAAAGGTAAGAAGTGGATGGTGATGGTTATCAAGGGTCAGAGGTTAATGGAGGACAGTATGATGCTTGGCAGTAAAAGAGAAAATGCTATCCTGGCAGAACCACAGAGTCAATGAAAAATAGACCAAGGAAAAAAAGATTGGAAAAGCCCCTCTGTTAGACCTTCCAACAGTTTCTAATGACATTCAAATGCATTTGAATCTTTATCAATTTGTGAAACTAAAGTGCAAAGTTGTGACAAAGACCTAAAACTCCCAAGAATGTTTATAAATGGGGAGAAACACTAAAACCAATTAGCATTAGCAGCATTAGGCACATTCAGCCCTCCAGATCTGAGTGTTTGGATCTTCTTGAGGTTCACTCGTAGGAATATTTGAGCTTTAATGCTCTACTGTACCTCCATGGTGTGGGTCTTCCCGGAGGCGGTCTGTCCATATGCGAAAATAGTTCCATTGTATCCACCCAGAACATCTGAGAGAGCGACAGAACAATAAATGAGACCAACACACATTTCAAAGTGACATGTTTTGACGTAGTTAATTATCCGTACCCTTGACAATCTGCTTGGCGCAGGTGTTGTAGACCTGCTCCTGGGTGGTGTTGGTTGGAAACACTCGATCAAACACATAGGACTTCCCCTGTGAACAACAACAACCAACACTTTTAAAATAACAAAAGATAAAAGGTGTTTTAGCCAAATTAGGATTGTTCAGTCTAGTCTTAGGATATTTAATTAAATCAAAGATGGATGATTTCAAATCTTTTTTCCAGCAGTGAGTCATTGGAAAATTATGTTCGCCCTGTGAAGTGGCCAGTAACTGATTTGTTCTCTGTGTGGATGTGAAAGAAAGAATGAGATACACACTCATATGAAACGGGTGATTCATTTTAACAGAGTAAAACACACATTGATGAAACCAACACATGTTGCTGTTTTTGTCTAAATAAAATAATTAAAAGCGCCCATATGATGGCATGCAATCAAACATTATTCACATTCAAATAAATATGTCTTAAAGGTTGAAGAACTGTCTCTTGATATCATAATTTATCTATTGTTTTAATAAAACCTTTCAAGATATTCAAATGTGTTATTTTCTTATGACATGGCAAAAAATCTTTGTCACCCCAGTCTGAGATCATTCAATCTGTGTGGATGGTTTGTAAAACGCTGCTTAATCTTCCTAACAGTAAGTACACAACAGAAAGAGATGATATCAGCAGTAAGCTCTGCAGCGGATCGTTCCCCAGACAGTCAGAGCCATATTTCATCCAGGAGCTGGCAGCCTCAGATAAAACACCGAGGAAAAAGGGAAGCTATTTTGAGTTTTATATCCATGTGTTAGAAACTACACCAGCTTTATTAAATTTAAACTTTGCATCCCCAAATAAATCATCTCCTCCCAAAAAACAAACTGTCCTGCGTGACAGACAGACGAGTGACTCAGCCGTGACGATCCCCGCTGCGGAAACCCAGCCAGTAAACCCTAAACGTCCTGACCTGAAACAGACGCCACAGTGCAACACAACATAATGTGAGCAGCCAGAACATGAGCCATATTAAATGTCATTAACAAATTGACTCATCTGCTGACCGCCCCCATCACAGGTTGATTTAGAGAGAGACTTTCCGTACCGGGACGAGGGAGGAAGGGAGGAAGAGGGACAGAAAGAGACATAGAAATGGAGGTGGATGAGCAATAGAAATATAATGGTGAGAATCAACGAGGCAGCCACACAATAGAGAGGGAAACAGTATGAGAGAGACATGTAGAGACAGACAGATGAAGCTGATGAAGAGGCAGAGCAAGTCAGTTGCTGATGCATGAGCTCGCTGGATGATTATTGATCCACTCTGTGGGCAATTAGAGGATCAGTTTCTGACTGTCCAACATCATGCTGAGAGGAGAGAGGAAGGTCAGGCCGAGAGGTTTCCATGATGGCTGGAGAAAGTTTGAACATGATTCCTCTCTCTGCAGTATGTCTATCAAATCAAATCAAATCAAGTTTTATTTATATAGCACATTTATAAACGATTTTTGGTCGAGCCAAAGTGCTGTACATATAATAAAAATAGCCTACATTAGAGACACTTTACAGCCAATACAATAA